ATTTGAACTGCCAACCTTTTGGTTAGCAGCTGAGCTCTTAACCACTGTGCCACCAGGGCTCCATTACTTTCATACAGAACATTTTTAAAAAGAAAAGGAAATGGGGTAAACATTTTAATGCTGTTTAGATAACTTTTTTCCAGAAATCCAATCTTAGTCTAACACCAACATACAATGTTCAAGCAGAACCAGCAGAAATTTATCAGTTCACTGTTATTTTGAAACCAGTGCCATTAAAGAATGGAGTAGTGCAATTCTCTTCTGCACACATGGTATCCCCATGCGTCCAAAAGGTCACAGCCTTGAAAACCCTGTGGAGTGTAGTTCTACTCTGCACACATAGGGTCTCCATGAGTTGGAATCAGCTGGATGGCAACTGGTTTGGTTTTTTTTTGTTTCAGCCATTAAAGACAATTACTAATGGAATTAGTAACTTCTCCATTAGGCTGTTTGGAAAACAATTGATTTTCTGCGAGCCATCTGACTATATTGTTGCTCATTTGTTAGTGCTTACATGAAGGTTTGCCTCCTAGAAACACCTTTTCTGAGCACTCTGAAGATCCTAGTTCAGTCTTCACACCAGTTAGCCCTTCTTGTCCCTCAATCAAGCTTTGCAGTAAACATTTCTAAGGCTGACAATGTTGGTAAAATGCATCTTTCTAAAGTTTACTTACTTATAGTTCATCAGCTTTCAAAATAAATGCTCATTTGTGATTGGAACTGGTTGAACAATTTCTGTAATTTCATTTAATCATGATACTTGCATTAAAAAGTTTAAGAGGGAACTTTGTGCTAGGATCTTATAATCTAGTTTTCTAATTGGGAAGACAAATTAATAATAGTAATATGAGGCATTAGATGCTTATGCTTTGAGTGGCACAGTAAATACATGAACCATGGAGTTCCCAAGACCCCAAACGATAAACTGAATTCTGGTGTAGTCGCCAATACATATGAACTCAAGATGCAAAGTGATGTCTGGAAATTGGCCCTGTAATCTATGGCACCACCCATACCTCTGGATGTAAAGTCTTTATTTGGTAGACCAGGAGTGGGGGGAGGGAGACGGCATGTGAGAATATCACATAATTACTGGCTGATTATGAAATATAAATTGATTGGAACAGTTTGTTCTCCATCGTCTCTTTCCACAGATGTAGTTGATTTGATTCCTGGGTATTCCATCTGGCGAGGTCCACATGCGTAGTCGCCGTTTATGTGTTGAAGAAAGATATTTGCAATGAAGAAGTCATTGGTCTTGCAAAATTCTATCATGTGATCTCTTGTGTTGTTTCTATCACCAAGACCATATTTTCCAACTGCTGATACTTCGTTTCTAGCTTTCACATTCCAATCACCAGTAATTATTAATGCATCTTGATTGCATGTTTGATCAATTTCAGAAATTGGTAAAAAATCTTTTCTTCATCTTTGGCATTAATGATTGGTGCATAAATTCAAATAGTCGTATTTACTGGTCTTTATTGTGTGTGGCTATTATCCTATCACTGACAGCATTGTATTTCAGGGTAGATCTTGAAATGTTCTTTTTGAGGATAAACGCAACGCCATTCCTCTTTAATTTGTCATTCCTGGCAAAGTAGACCATACGATTGTCTGATTCAGAATGGCCTGTACCAGTCCATTTCAGCTCACTGATGTCTAGGATATTGATTTTTATGTGTTTCATTTCATTTTTAACAACTTCCAATTTTCCTATGTTCATACTTCGTACACTCCATGTTCCAGTTACTAATGGATGTTTGCAGCTGTTTCTTCTCATTTTGAGTC